CTGATCCGTACAGGAGAGCATTAGTTAGAGACAGAGATGGGGGACTCGAGTCACATGACTTGACTCGAGTCAGACTCGAGTCGCAAATTTAAGGACTTGAGACTTGCTTGACTAAATTAAGAAAATGACTCGACTTGACTTTGACTTGAGATCCAATGACTTGAGACTTGACTTGACTTGAACTGTATGACTCGAGAATGACTTGATATACATTTTTATATAAATCATCGCAACATCAATTGATAAACAAAATGAAAGCAACGGAACCATTGACGTCAGTCATCAGATTCTGCGCGATTGCGTGACGCTGCACAAGCCCAGAAATAGCCTACATCGCGGTGAGCGCGCTAAATACAAAAACATCTCCCTGCATCGTTTCTTTTTGGATATAAACACTAGAAATTGACCATATTCATGCAAGAAGATTTGTTGTACGCATAATAACTGGCAAGGCATATCGGACGACCATCACAACCTCGAACAGTCGAACTTCATTCACCACGTCTAAAAGTAAGCTATGGCTTTTTTAACCTGTTTGTTATAGTAAATTTGACTATCTTTAAATCTAGAGAGAATAATATTGGTCAAAACAGCATGCCTCTTTATACACAATTATGTTTTCAAATGTAGCTTAATGTTGTTAATATTCAAATGATAGTTAATGATGGTATATGTTTTGTATAACGTTTGCCACATTTCTTTTTAAATCATGCTTTAAAGCCAAAAATGTCGTTCTTTCCAATGACGAAAAACAATATAGAAAACTGTTAGTTTTGTCGTTTATGTTTCTCTTAAAGCAGGGATAGATGTTATCAGGGGGTTGGTGGCAAAAAATTCCAGCAGAATTAATATGCACCCAAAATTCAAAATGTGGTGGAAAAATGGCCCTAGTATTAGTTATTTTCATAATTATAACATATTGTTGTAACCTGGCCCTTTAAGTCCCTTAACTGCCTGCTGTGCTCTTGTAGCTTATTGGTTGTTCAGCTACGCACTCCTTAGCATAGAGCAGGAAGTGAAGTTAGTTGTTGTTCTTAGAGGTTGCTCGCATGCTCATCGCACGTCGGAGAAACTGCCGTCCAGTGCCGGAGCAAGAGCGCCTATCAGCTGCAGCAACCGATATAAGTTTGTGTTCATGAATGTTGGTGAGTGCGCTGTGAACTGTAACTTACATCTGTGTCCTAAGATCTTCAGTAAAACTTGTGAAAGCATCTCCTTGTCGTGGCTCATTCCACCCGCGTTTCCATATGCAGTATTACATATCAACAACACGACAACTGGTGTCAGAAGCGGGATTGTGTTTGAAACAACGTGAATTAACCCAGAAGAATATCGGATATCGATTAAAAAAAGTGGATGCTGCAGTGGCATGCTAATGTGTTAGCGCTTCACTTGAGGCCGGAGGCGCGAGTTGGCTGACGTCATCGCGCCCGATGAGAACCGTGTTGACTCAACTACACTGAATTGCCAGAGACATTAAGAAAATCAAATGCTCCTGGAGGTCGTCTGTAAGGATGATTGACTGAAATAAAAAGTACGACAAAACTATATGGATAAAAAGCCCTTCACCATTCTTCAATACCAGGCAGTTCACTGGTAGCCGGAGGCGCGAGTTTGCTGTCGTCCTCGCGCTCGCACCCGATGAGAACCGTGTTGACTCAACTACACTGTGAACTGCCAGAGACATCAAGGAAACCAAATGCTCCTGGAAGATTTTTGTGAGAATAATTGACTGTAAAAAGAAAAAAAGCTATCTAAAAAGAAAAGAAAAGATTAAAAAAAAAAAGCTATCAAAAAAAAAAAAGAGAAATATTAAAACATGTCCCAGGAAGATTTATACCAAGGAGCAGCAGCAGCCCCTGATCCCGACCAACCTCCAGAATGGTTGAAGGCAATGCTTGAAAATCAGAGCAAGAATAATGAGCAACTGCGAACGATGATGACTCCAATATTGCACCATATTGCAAGTAGTACCCAAGCCCAGCACACATCCATGTCCACTGCACCTAGGTGGGACACCCGTGAGAGCTTGCAGCCCACTGTCAGAGATAAGCGAATGCCTTATAGTGATTCACAGTTTCCCTTGGATAATCCAGAGAGGTCACGCAACATTACAAGCGGACCGTTTGCTGCTGAGCTGGACGTCATACAACAGAGAGCACGTACTTCAGGCCCCACCAGAGCTACCCCATCCATAGAGACAGGTGTTAGGCAACGAAATAGTGAGCGTGGCTCTCAGCTACTGCCACCTACCTACGCTTTTGAACAAAGACACAACATTCCTCATCATCAAGGCCAACCCGTTTTTTAATGAGGGTCCCAGAGCAAAGCTTGCTATTTTTGATGGTACTGGGGACTGGGAATCGTTTCTAGTACCATTTGAACGGCAGGCCAGAAAGTTTGGATGGAGTGGAGCCCACAGGGTGGACTATTTACATGAATGCCTGAGGGGGGCAGCAATTAAGTACGTCTGTTCACTTCCTGAGCATATTCGAGAGGACTACACTCTTCTGAAAGAGCAGCTAACTCAACGTTTTGGTCAACGAGACCCCCCAACCACAATTAGGAGGAAGCTTGGAGAACTCCACCAGTTCAAAGAGTCGGCAGCAGAGTTCGGTGAAGAGGTACAACGCTTAGTCACCTTAGCCTACCCTGGTGTGGACCTCGATCTGCAAGACCAACTTGCCACAGATTTCTTCCTCAAAGGGCTTCGTAACCAAAAGGTGGCTTATGAAGTAATGAACAGAGATCCCCATTCATTAGTGGAGGCTCAAAGATTTGTAGAGGCCCACGAGCACAATTATCGAGCCACTGTGGGGCGTGATGTTGATTCAAAGAGCAGAGCCAGGCGGATTTCATGGGCAGATGATGATGACGTGTCCATTGAAACTCCAGCAGCCTCACGCAGGGTGCATAGTCCAAGCTACGTCACTGCAGACCAGCTAACCCTTCTCTCGCAGAAAACTGCAGCCCTAACAGAGACAGTGGAGAGGATTAGTAAGAACTATGTGACTGCTGACCAGTTTCACCTCCTGATGAAAAAGATGGAGCAGCTGCAATCAAAACTAGACAACCCTGTGGCTAAGGAGCCAAGAAAGCTGGAGGAAGCAAATCAGGAAAGTAGGCGAGGGCGGTCTCCAACACAACGTGGTGCAGCACAAACCAGATCCTACTCCCCAAGTCCCAGCCGTGTTGGAACAGGTGTGTGTTATCACTGTGGGGAAGAAGGACATTTTCGCAGAGAGTGCATGAGGCTGTCAACCCTGCCACCCAACTCTGGTCAAAGTAGTAAAGATCAAAACCGCAGTACTGCTCCAAGAGATTCGGTAAGCTGGAGAAGTCAGTCCCCCACACCCCAGGTGGGACGCGCTACAAGTAGAGGCCCAAGCTTGCTCATTGATGCAACTGTGAACAGCATTCCAGTGAAAGCCGTTGTAGACACAGGAGCTGAAGCAACAGTTATCTCAGAAAACTTATATCAGCAGTTTCCCTCAAATAAGCAGATGGCTTTAACACAGACATGCCTCCATAATGCAGAATCAGGGAAAGACATGAGCGCCAAAGGTGGACTAAAAGTTAAATTCCAAATTGGTACCTGGAGTGCAGAATGGGACGTTTTTGTGGCTCCGATACGTGACTCTGTTCTTCTGGGCCTCGATCTTCTGCAAGCTGCAAATGTAACAATCCACACGAATGGCAGAGTATTAGTCGAGGAGGAGCTGGTTCCGGCTAGGATCGTTGGCGGTGATGGAACAGACTATCACGTTGCACGAGTGGTCCTGGAGACAGACACAATGTTACCTCCAGAAAGTGAATGTCTTGTCCGGGGAGAAGTTGACAATCCAAAACATGGTGTCTGTGCTGTTTTGGAACCCTACCCGATCACAGAAACTGTGGCTTCTGGAAGTGTTGTCACAACCATGGAGCAACGGGTGATTGTCAGGCTCTGCAATCTTTCCAGCCACAAGACTACCTTACTGAAAGGAGCCTGCCTTGGTCTCTTAGTTGAAACTTATTCAGATGAGAGCTTATCAAATTATACGCAGCAAGAAGAGGACTGTAGTCTTCAAGAGCAGAGTGATGACACCGTTCATTCAGAACTGAGAAGACTGACAACTGCCACTGACTTGCCCGAGCACCTCCAAGCCCTATATGCTGCTTCAAGCGGGACATTAAGTGAGGAACAGCAACAACGACTTGTTAAGCTCCTGCATTCATACAGGTTTCTCTTTGCCATTTCAGATGATGATCTTGGATTCTTAACAGCTGTCACACACAAGATAAACACTGGAGCGGCTAGGCCAGTACGCCAGCCTGTAAGACGGACTCCCCTTGGGTTTCAAGGGGAAGAGGAGAGGCACCTCAAAGCTATGCTGGAAGCAGGAGTCGTTAGACCTTCCTCCTCAGAGTGGGCATCACCTGTGGTGCTAGTCCGTAAAAAGGATGGTGGTGTCCGTTGGTGTGTCGATTATCGGCGCCTAAACAGCCTGACAATTAAGGATGCTTATCCTCTCCCCAAGATTGAGGAATGTCTTGATGTTCTTGGTGGCGCTTGTGTTTTCTCTACCCTAGACCTCCAATCTGGGTACTGGCAAATTGTAGTAGATGAAATGGACAGAGCAAAGACGGCCTTCATCACTCGCTATGGCCTTTATGAATACAATCGTATGCCCTTCGGACTGTGCAATGCTCCAAGCACTTTCCAAAGGGCAATGGAGCTTGTTCTTCGAGGACTTCAGTGGGAAACCCTTCTAATTTACTTGGATGACATCATAATCCTGGGTAAAGAGGTAGACGAGAGCCTTGATCATCTTGAAGTGGTATTCCAACGCCTTGACAGTTACGGGTTGAAGCTGAAGCCATCAAAGTGTCATCTACTCAAAGATGAAGTCCTTTTTCTGGGCCATGTGGTCAGTGGTGAGGGTATACGCCCCAATCCAGCTTTGATTAAGGATGTGGAAGCTTGGAAAACCCCCACAAGTGTGCATGAGCTGAAGGCC